TTTTGCACAAGGTAAACTCTCATTTTCAGATTTAAACATCCATAAATGAAGAGTTCAGAGTCTAAAGTTTCCAGAGATACAAATATGTTTGTGTTTCAGTCAAGTTCATGAGTGTGAAAATCATTTATAATCACTCGTGGTCTGTTTTCTTTTATGCAGTTTTGCTCTATGGGAAGCCCTAGTATATAGTATAGTACATGTATGGGATGTTCCTAGTCGGCGTCCAAGGGGGAAAGAGTTAAGACTGTATATTTAAAACAGACTGTGTTTGAGCTAGTTTTACCCGTGCTGAGGTCCTCCGTCGTTGATGACTCCGAGTCGGGACAGCTGACGCTTCAAGTGCATTTTAAAACTGGCGTTAATCCTCAGAAACAGCATCTGCAACAGGAAAAAGATCTGAATAAAAATGATAAAAGGATCCCTCAAGTCAATACAACTACAACTGTTACTACTACAACAACTACTACTACAACTACTACAAAAGTACTTAAAGTGTAACCCGGTTTATCTCCCACCTGAGTCTGTTCCTCTGGCAGAAGATCGGAGATGGCTTCATGCATCTTGGCCATTTGTTTGCACACGTTTCTGAAGCAGGAGGAGGGCATCGGGGCTTTCACTTCATACTGGACACAGAAACAGACAGGTGAAACAGACAGGTGAAACAGACAGGTGAAACAGACAGGTGAAACAGACAGGTGAAACGGACAGGTCAGGTCTGAAATTTCAACCTCGATTATGATACTACGAATAGACTCGATACTTAAAGCTGATTCTGATACGACAATGATAATAAAAAGACTTTCTTCAGACGACAGAAAAAAAGTCATTGAAGCAGCAATAAAAGCATCCATAAGTCGTCTGTTTGGACTTTAAATGTAGAACATTTCTTTTTCTCTTCAACATTCAATTTGAACCAGCAATAATGGAACAAAATAGTCAATAAAATAGTTAAGAAAAGATTAGAAATTATACAAAACGTGTCGGAACATTTCAACATTTCTAATGAGAGGTGGACCTGTCTGTGTTTTTTTTTATCATGTTCCAGTCTGGGTGCAGGAGGAGACACAGAAGCAGATCAGGCGCAGCACTCAGTCTGTTTCTGTGCTTTTTGTGAGCATAGAAAACCTCATGTGTCAGAACTGTTTATTGTAGATCAACATGTTGATCAGGTGACCAAAAAAACATCTCTTGCGTCCCACCTGAGGGTCACGACCCAGTCTTTGGGAAATAATGTTCTAGTCCAGTGTTTCCCAAAGACTGAGACTCAGGTGGGACGCAAGAGATTTTGCCTCGTCAGGAACACTGTCACAAACACTCGTTCAGGACAAGCAAAAGTTGAGAAATGTTGTTTGGTTGTCTAAAAAGAAGGGAGATAAATCAGCAAAGTTCAGTGCACAGTGAGCAGTGTTTTTGTTTAAAACTTGAGTAATACTAATTATTCAGAGACATGATCACTCAGTCAACAATAAAATATCCTCATTAATGTTCAATAATGGTCAAATCCACTTTTATTTTGTGATTTATGAATAATGTCCATTGACTTGGGTCGCCAAGGTTTGTGACTTAAAATGTGGGTCACCAGAAAAAACGTTTGGGAAACACTAGGCTCAAATGAGCATTCTAGTTTTAGTTTCAACTGGTGTCAGATTTTCGATTCTTTTCACATCCCCAGTAAACAGACGGGTAAAGAGTCTGTCAGACTTAAGCTGCTCTCTACTGCCCCTTCTGGTCGCGCTTTACCTTTGATAAAACCTTCTCGAACAGACTGTCCATGATGGCTACGAGTTTGGCAGAGATCTCAGCGATGTGGTCGTTGTAATCCTGAAAAGAAAAACAGGGGAATAGATATTTTAAAGTGAATCTAAACACTAAACTCACTCACTTTTTTATGACTTAACTTCTATTTTTTTGATATTCAAACACAACATCTTCAGTGCCTCTAAAGCAAGACAATAAATAAATTATACCTCGTCGTACCTTAGTGATATGATCGAAGTGACGCAGGACGCTGAATTGTTTGGGCTGAAGTTTGGTCTCAAAATGAGCTCTGATCAGAGGAATGTAGTGCACCACCAGCTGCAGGCACCGAGACGCCAACGCTACAGGAGACACACAGGAGGGAAGGAAGGACGTCAGTCGTTTATTCAACAGTATCGTGACTAGGCCTGTACTCAGAATATCAACACAGCAGCGTTTGAGTATCGATACAGAGATGGTGAGAAATGGTTACTAACGCCTGAACGCTCAATCTGCTGAGCTGGGTTTAGGTCATTTACACATTCATCTGTTTTACACCAGTTTTAGCTGAAGATAGTTTCCATCTCAAACAGGTTATAGGCGAGTTTCAGCTGGTGTCATTGTTATTAAAAGCCCGCGTTGCTGCTGGGAAATATTTTGGTCGGAGGCAAGAAACACGATAGCGTCAAACACAGTGCGTAACCTCGCGTATTTATCCCCGATAATGGTAAATTCCTGCTGCATTATCGGATGCACAAATAGAAGCACGGAAGAAGGAAAATGTCTTTTTCGTATTCTGAGTGAAAAGAGCCGCTAACGGTGAATTAAACGACTTTCAAACATCCACAGAGCAAACGTAGAAGATCCTAACAAACCGTGGACTCCAACAAGTTCAACAACACATCCAGACTCTTGGAGGTTTTCATCTTTTCTGCTGTGAATGGCCCAGGAGTTTCCACCAAGTCATTGTGGATATCGCCAAAGTGAATATTTGTCCAGGTAGTTGGCGATTTGGTTTGGAAATTTGGTTTGTTCCACCTTTTGTCGGGGTTGAAAAGGGTGATTTGTCGTCCGTCGATGCTTATGACCAATTTCTGGTCAAATGGTCTTGTGTCCTCTGCTGTTAGAGTGGATAAATAACCGGGATCAATACCCTTTACGTGCTTTCTCGCTCCGTCCGTCATGTTGAATTAGTGTTTATTGCCGCTGACCAAAATAATTCCCAGCATGCAACGCGCGCTTTTATCAACAATGAAACTCGCCTATAGACAATTAAAAACATCCAAATATCCATCCATTTACAATCAAACCTGCACTCTCCCAGTCATTCATTTAAAAACATCACACTCCACATTTCCACATGGGAAGGAGACTTTGTTGAAAAACTATTTTATATTAAATGAATATTAGGGGTATTATAGACATGAAAATCCACTGTGTTTTGTTAATCCACATGAGCAAAACATTATTTTAGTAAACTTTTAACACCAGTTTGAAGGGATATACATGCATTAGGACATGTGTCGTATCAAGCAGAGCCCTGCAGCCCTGGGAGGATAAACTGCAGTCCCACAAACTAAATATGAGAGTAAAGTTAAATATACAAATGATTCATGTTTGCTTATAATACATGATTTGTGCTGGATATTTCATTTGGCATTAATCAAAACATTTCAAAACAGCCTAAATCTGCAGATGTGGTCTAATCTTGCGCACATTTTAGACAATTCCTTTCCGCTTCTCCGTGTTTGATAGAGCTTAAGAAAGAGAATGTCTCCATCTTGTGGGATTTGCGGGCGAGAGCGGGACAAAATATCACAGATGTGGGCGGGAGCGGAATTGAAATTTCTGTCCTACGCAGACCTCTATTATCAAAGACCGAGTACTGGGTTATGTTTTGTATCGTGAGGCACTTGGTAATTGATACTTCGCAAAGACATCGTGCTGAGAGTGTTCTACATGTGTCTCTAGGGTGAAATGTTCAGCATTTATGGTGGAGACACAATGCGGACATTAGCAAACACTCTAAAAAGTTTTAAGTTAGTACAAAATTCAAGATTTTTTAAATGGATTCAATGGACAATTGGACGTACAGATGGACAGTTTGGCTCACGAGGAAATGAGGCCCTATGTCCAAAATTCCAGAGTGTTGGAGACGTGTGGAGACACTTTTTGAAATATTCCATCCAGTCCTTTTGTAACTAAATGAACTCTTTCTGACTTCAGACTGCGTTAAAACAAAGCTCAGATTCAAGTCTAACAGAGCTTTTGACAGAGCAGTGCCTTCAGTTAGCGTCACATCCCCAGGGAGTTTTGATGGCATCAGCTGCAAAGTATGAGCACGCAGCCCTAAGTATGACCCTGATCACGATATTCTGTTCAGTTGTATACGTTTCTAAATGATTCTCTAAATGAGTCTTTAAATGTGTTTTAAGGTTTTCAGACCCAGGTTTTTTGTAGTGATGGTTTTGAGGCCCACGACTTGCAGAGCCCCGGCTCCCAGGACCAGCTGGCAGCTCCGAGAGTTGAAGTGCTGCACAGACAGAGACAGAGAGACGAGACGTTAGAGATCTCACAAAAACACAGGTTACTCAAGAAAATATACAGACAATAAACAATCATGTTTAAACTAATTTACCCCACAAACACAATAAACCTAAATCTGCATTATCTCCAAAAAACTACACGTAGCTTTATTAAATGATAGGAAAAGAAAAACTGGACAAAGTATTTAGAGTGAAGACGTTTTGCAGCTTATCCCAGAGACTTCTTCAGGTCTGGTCAGACGCTGGTGGACTCTGCCTAATGGTGCGTTCGAGTGTCAACTTGTCTCCCACTCGGGTCGTGGATATGAAGTCACATCCACACTTTAAGTGTTTTATTATGTTTTGCACATAGACGTGTATATGAAGGGACTTGGCTAATGCACAAACAGCCCCGTTCAGGTTTCACGTGTCCAACTTGAAGTAAAATCTGGACACTAACCGGAAAGCTGTTATTATTGTTGTTTGTTATCTTCGGTTAGTGACTCCAGGGATGTTTAACACCCATTTAGAACAAGTCTGTGTTCAATATTGGCCTCACCACAACAGCGACCCCCAAACCCACAGTGATACAGACGCAGTAAAGTACAGCAGTGATACAGACGCAGTAAAGTACAGCAGTGATACAGACACAGTAAAGTACTGCAGTGATACAGACACAGTAAACGTACTGCAGTGATATGAGTGACTGAAATTGTCATTTAAACCACCAAAGTTCCAGATACAATGAAAACAGCTCATACAAGTGACACTGGGCACAGTCGTCTTGGATTCTGTCTCGGAATCCTTGCTCGGTCTTCTCCGAGTTGGAGATTCGCAGTCCAAGGAAAAGGGGCATGCCAGTGCGTGTCGCTAGGCAATGTCCTCGGACCTCCAAGTTGGATGGATAAATGAACACACCATTACATCTGCATGAAGTGACTAATAAACTAAAACACCTACTTGTTTACAGTTTGTTTTGGTTTGAAAGAGGAGTTAAAGAGGCAATATTGTTAGGAAAGACAATCCATCTCTGAACAAGAATGGAGAGCTTAGACATCATCTATTCCCCAATTATAGCTCCATCCTCAGACCTAAATATAAACAAAGAAAACGACAGCGATAGCCCGTGTGTTAATAGAAGAGAGCGCATCCATGAGGGTCCTGAATGATTACCCCAAAAATGGATCAAGCTCAGTTAGATGTTTAGCTCTTAGATGTTTTAGTTTGAGTGGAGTTGGCTCCTCCCTTCAGACAGACATAAGGCCGTGTCCACGAGCATCTGACCAGAACTGAAGAAGCAGCTTGGATCAGCTGAGAAACGTCTTCACTCTAAAACCTTTGTCCAGTTTACAGAATTGAATTTTACTTTTGCTATGATCAGACCAGGATGACTGAGGGATTATACAGACAGATATTAACTAGTGATGGGCAAATGAGACGCAGCTCCGGAGCGCGACTCGTTCTTTCTGAAACAAATTGCTCAGAAGCACTGCCTCGGAGCTCGTCTCGCCAAAGTGTGGAAGTGTCGGTCCCTCCCCCTACCGCTTCGCTCTGCGTGTCGATCGCTTCAGTGTATCGGAGCGTTTCATTGGCTCGGCGAATGTTCCGCTCTGCCATTGGTCCAGAGTGCTTCAGAGTGTTCAGCGCACTTCTGAGGTTTGACAAACGCTAAACTGCTACAGTATAAAAGATGCACCAATATTTGTTTAAAAATGTTGGGTAGTGAGGAGTATTGTGTGATGTTAGTGGTGATTTTGGCGACTTTTGGCATTTGTTTCATTTTCGATGGCATCTACAAGTGGAAAAAAGCGATCCATGGTTTGGGATCACTTAACAAGGTCACCTCTTTTCTTATTTACAGCATGCTACTTATGCTGCTCTTTACATATTATTTTAAATCATCATTATTATTGTATTATTATTGTATTGTGGGTTGTGTTCTGGTTTGCAATGGTTAAATTTGTCCACTACAGGTCAGTGTTTCTCCGAGGCATCAAACACGTCGAACCATTTGAGACAATATTGCGACTGAGGTGTCAATGTTTCACGAGGCTCCGTTCGCCCATCACTAATATTAACTGTTAAAGATGTTGATGTCCACCTCAAATCTGCTTGCCTACTCATAAAAGTCACAACTGGATCATAATAACGACTGAGACAAGTGAAGGTTTAGAGAGTTCATTAGGTCTGGTCTAAACACAGTGACAAACACAAAGAGAGGAGCAGGGTCTCACCTTGAGCAGGTCGGACAGTCTGGTGAGCATGTCTGTGGAGATGGACGGGATGTCGTTCACACACTGACAGTACTCCAGGAACATCCGGATCAACAGCAGAACCGTCCTGAAACACAAGACCACAGAGTCTGTATCCTCCTCACTCTGCACCAGCGCTTCAAAACAATCTGACAAAAAAGAGACTAATCGATACTAAAACTAGATCCTCATTTGAGCGGATATCGATACTAAAAAACTCCCATTGTATCGTGGCAACACGCATCAAAGTATTTACTAAACCTGAATCCTCAAACGTTAAAGGTGTTAAAAGTGTAGTTATAAAGTGTCGTCTCGTCTGTGGTGTGATTTGTGAGAGACTTACCCGACCACAGCGTACTTCTGCCCGTTCACCAGGAGGAACTCAGTGGGTTTCCTGTCGTCTGGACCTGCTCAGAGGAAAGTCCCGTTAGGATTTCATTTTAATGTCTTTAATTATTATTTTTTAAACGCCCTATTTGTCAAACTGGGATAAGCATTTCTTTGCCCAACTTAAAATAATGTCCATATAGACTCTATTCTAAAGCATTTGGAAACATGCGATGACAACTTCCGACGAACTTCTGTTCACCGGAAAAATGAGAAAATGTCCCAGTTTTCTTCATCTCCATGTCATTGTAGCATTCTGTTATGTTCAGCTCATCAACAATTACAACCGTACCTCGGCTTTCATCATTTCTCCACTGACGCGCAACTGGGTACATGCGATTAGAAGAGATGAGGCACCAAATTCCACATTCAAATTCCAAACAGCACATACGTCTGCAGTCTTCATTTTACCGCTGAGCACGTTTACTTCAGTGGGTTTGATCACAGTCGGTTGATGAATTCAGTGTCGGGAACTACGCCGGAAGTTGTCATCGCATCTTTCCAAACGTCTTCCTGGTCTGTGACTAGAGCCTATACATGCGTCCCGAATTTTGTGTGTTTGTTGGATCCTAACAGCGGAAAACGGGCTTCGGAAGTTTGCGAACTCCATAAATGCAAAAGTGAATCAGATGTGTGTGACTCCAGACCTCTGTTCAAACAGTTTTACTTCCCAACGGAATTGAAAAACAACAACAAAGGAAATCACAACCACACAATTACGATGTCTGAATCCCAAAAACTAAACTATGACAATATCAGAACCAGAAACAAAAGTGATATGGTTCAAAAGACTTGAAAAGATCGACTTTGACAATAGACACATCCCACTGGGAAAACAAACATGGAGGTTTGATGCTCACTTTTTCTGAGTCCTATTTTTCAGGATTCATTGCGTGATGACCGGAAGTCCAAAATTCAGAATGCATGTATTTGGGAAATATACTTTAAAAACTACACATCAGTTTCCACTGGGCGCCCTCTGCTGTCAGCAACGTGAATGAACATTTAGAGAAATGTGTTTTTGTGTAAATTGTGAAGAATTTATGGACAGAATTCTCCCTAGTGATATGTCAGTATGGAACTCTCCACTTTTTGTAATTTTCAACATATTTTTCAACTTTTCTTCAATTCTTTTCATCAAATTGCTTCTTGATTGGTGTAAAAACTATAATTTATATTTACAACAGGCACAACAGGGTCACCAACTTGACATGATTTAAGTCCTTTTGCCCTGTCAATGCTGTACTAATAGAGCCATGCATTTGCTGTGAACACAAATTTGCCTGAAGAATGATGATGATTTATGGGAGAAGCCTGGAGTTTTATCTGTGATGCAACAAAACTGTCAAAATGTGAATAATCTAATAATCTTGAGGCTCAGAGAACACAAATGGATTAATGAAACAAGACACAGCTGCATGTACTGTATGTTTTTGACGAGGGAACAACATTCTAACCTGGTTAAAAGGTCAATAAAAGTTTGTTTGTGTAATACTCCCGACAGCATCTGACCTGAGAGTTTCCGCTCTGGGAGAGAGATGCTTCCTTCTGCGATGGAGTTCACCAAATCCTGAAACTCAGCGGGAACTTCGGCCTGTTTCCACCGCTCGTTATCCAACAGCAAACTGAGCACAAACAGAAACCTTTTAGATCGCTGTAAAAACCATCACCAGACTTTAACCATGAAGAGAATATTCCACAGTACGGCATTAAACTTACATCTTACATTTATTCAATTACAGGAGTTTATTGTTCAAACCATTAAATAACAGGTAGTCTAAATGTGAGCAGGGTCACCTCTCCACAGATCTAACCCGCACCTTTAACTGCTCGTCCTCACGGAGTTAAAACAAGTTTAATGCCGTACTGTGGAACTTTCCATGTAAAGAAATAAGGGATTGAGACAAGCAGGTAGAGTACACTCCACCAGGACACAGACACGGCTGTATGTTGTTTCCTTATAGTTCTTAAATCTCTGCCTGCTACTTGCTTTTTGTGTCACTTCTGAAAATGCACCATGACAAAAAAATGCTCCACTGTGTTTTTAAACTTCATACACCTTCACTAGAATCATTTGGATAATTTCAGCCCAAGAATCGCCAAACTCTACTGAACTAAAAGGTAAAAAAGGAGCTGTTCACTTAAAAACTACCACTTCATGACATCACAAGGTGGAACAGAGCACTTTAAGCTCTAGAGATGTACACAGACTAATAATAAAAGTTTTAAGGCCTGTTCATACTCCATAAGAACATAAGAACTTTGTTCTTGTTCTTGAGGTGATGAGAACAACAAAGTTTGTTTGGGCTCTGACAATTTATACTTCAGAAGATGTTCTGCTGCCAAACTGCCCCGTCTCCTCGCTCTTTTTTTTTGGTGACCAGCCTTTCGGCTTTCGGAAACTTGTCACGGAGATTACGTCAGACTCTTCTACACTTCTACACTTAGTCCCTCCATGATTTTCTTGCCATTTGGCGCCTTTATCGTCACTAAGCGTCGTGTTGTACAGATGTTTGTGTCTTCTCACCATTTCCACCAGCCGTGACGCAAACCCATTCCAGTTTTTCTTGCGCCATGCCAGCGAGGAAATAAATAAACCATGTCCACATAAATAACCAATCAGACGAAGATGTCAGACAGCGCGGTCAAACTGCCGAACAAAGTTCTGCTCAGCTGAGGTGTCGAGAACAAGCCACAAGAACTGCCCAACAGGAGCTGGACCAACAAAATCACATCATTTTGTTCAGCCAGCTCCTGTTGGACAGATCTGAGAACAAGAGCAAAAGTCTTATGTTCTTATGAAAGTATGAACAGGCCTTTACTCAAACATGTGTGAATGAAACAAAACACATCTCCAGGTCAGTTTTTGAGGAGGAAACAAGATTATAACATGGTTTAAAGCTCACAAAAGTCAGTGCTGTTTAATATAGGGCCTATTAGAGCGTTTATCTGGACAAAACAAAATTAAAATCAGGGACAGTCTCTTTCAAATCTGTTACACTTACCCCAGTTTGGTTTTGCGCTCTTCGTGGAAGCGGTGGACGAAGCGGTTGGCCTGGTTCTGCAGTGCCCCCCTCAAGCTGACGCTGCGTCTGCCGCTCAGCTCCTCCGTGTCTCTGACGAACTGCTCCACAGCCCGGGACAAACACACGAACTCTGCAGAGGAGAGCCGCTCCAGGGACCCGTCCTGAGGAGAGGGGACGGTCACATCACCACAGATCATACACACAAATGGAACAACAACACATCGTGAAGCGTGACATGCCCCTGAAAATACAGATAATAAACGATAATACTGAAACCAAATCATCCCACTGACACACTTTAGCAGTCAATCTTTATCTGTAACGAGCAGTGTTGGGGAGTAACAGATTACAAGTACCAGAGTTACGTAATCAGAGTACAAATTATGAGTAACTGTATTCCGTTACAGTTACTTTTTCAGTGAGTGGTAATTGGATTACAGTTACTTTGTTGAAATAAATGGATTACACGGCGGGATTTTCCTGTTTTCACATTTTGGGTTATATCCCATCCCTATTTTTTTTTCTTTCTTTTTTTTCGGTAATTCCACTTCTTGCCAGAAAGTAAACCAGGTCTAAACTAGATCTAAACTAGGACTAAAACCAGGTCTAAAACCAGGTCTAAAACCAGGACTAAAACAGGTCTAAAACAGGTCTAAAACAGGTCTAAACCAAGTCTAAACCAGGTCTAAACCAGGTCTAAACCAGGACTAAACCAGGTCTAAATCCAGGACTAAAACCAGGTCTAAAACAGGTATAAAACCAAGTCTAAACCAAGTCTAAACCAGGTCTAAACCAGGTCTAAACCAGGACTAAAACCAGGACTAAAACCAGGTCTAAACCAGGTCTAAACCAGGACTAAATCCAGGACTAAAACCAGGTCTAAAACCAGGTCTAAACTAGGTCTAAACCAGGTCTAAAACCAGGACTAAACCAGGCTGTGTGGACGTGTCTCCTCGTCTTCTATCAATAATATTTTTAATTTGGTTCAGTAAAGTCTGGGTTTTTTATTTTCTTTTATCAGACAAAACTTCTTATGTGAAGATTTCCTCGTCTTTGCTTCTCTACAGCAAATCAAGTAATCCAAAGTATTCAGATTACATTACTCACTTTAAGTAATTTAACGGATTACATTACAAACTACTTTTTGGTGTATGTAATCTGTAATCTGTAGGAGAATACATTTTAAAAGGAACCTTCCCAACACTGGTAACGAGTCATAAAATTCAAATCCAACTCAAATCTTATCGTAGTAGAGAAAAATAACAAAAAGTTCCCCATTAGTACAAGTCCCCATGAAACATACTAACTCCAACAATTGAAGTTTTGATGCCTACAATGAGAAATAATCCTGAAAGAAGTCGATATAGTATTATGTTGACAGGCCTAAACACACAGAGATGAATGCTACTCTTCCATTTGTTAAAAATCACTTAATTTTCTCTTCGTCTCTGACCTTGGCTCTGGCGGTGAGCAGTTTGACGCAGCGGTCGTGGCTGACGTCAGACGCAGTAAACAGCGCCTCCTGGAGGTTGTTCAGGACTCTGTTTAACTCCAGCTCAGACGGCATCATGTTATCGGCAGATCTGCACAAAGGATCACACACAGAATAATGCTTTCATCTGGTTATTTTCATAGAATGTTCTGCTTTACGGTGTTAATCTTGTATATCCAGATTTTATTTTCATTACTGGTGTTTTTACCGCTACAAACACCATGCGTTCTTTCTATGTGCAGGCTCGCCTCTCCACAGATCTGACAGGCAACCTCATCTTATAGAACATTCCAGTGAAAGCTTTAATATCTCCCTGGAGACAAGCAGGTTTAATCTCATTAACTGTTGTAACTTTATTGTGTTTAAAATGTTACTGTTACTTACGGATGGGCATGATTAATCGATTAATCGATAATTGATCATTAAGAATTTCATCGATTACGTTAATTTTAATCGACAAACCGAATGTAAGTTGCTGTGTGTATCGTGACCAAACAGGTGTGTACATGTGTCTCTGCATCAGAAGGAGCGAGACACAAACAGTGGGTCAGTCTGTAACGAACCGAAGCACAAATGTGTATTTAATGATGATTTGTACAAGAAATTCCACACTTTCCGTTGCGTTCGGGACAAGTGTGAGTCCATGTGCACAGTGTATAAAGCAGCACATATGTTTCTGTGTCCAGTGGGGAAAAGTTTTGCCATGTGAGAGTCGTGCAATGTCGATGACGAGTCCCCACCTCCCACCCAGTTGACTAATCATGCCCATCCCTACTCTGGAATCATGGATATTATATAGATTCATTACAGTGACATCACACAGGGGGTGTTCTGTATGCATTTCTATGGTGGAATGTCCAGCAGTTACCATGGAGACACAATTCACACATTAGCAAACACTGTCAGTTCTGCTTTAGAAGCTGTTCAGATCTTTTTGTTTTCTACTTTTCTTCACAAATTTCCAATTAACTGATGTAAAATTATGTGACACATTTACCAGACACTATCCGACCAAACCAAGTCATAAATATAGATGTATAAATAAATAAATATATGAATCTGTCAAATGTGTTTTAATTTAAAAAAAATGCTGATTCACAGGCCTCACTCGTGCTCTGTACTGCTCTGTGCTGTTAGTTCTGGAATCGTGGACATCATAGAGTGTATTTACACAGACATCAGTATTCCAGTTATGATCAAGTTTTTGAGTATCCTAGTTTCATCATTGGTGCATGTACACACAGTATCCCAGTTTCAGTCTCCCGAATAAGCCAGTATCCCGGTTATGAGAAACCAGGATACTGCAGCTGGTATATTCGGATAGTAACCGGGATACTGTGGCATGTAAACGCACTATCCTGGTTACTGCAACATAAAGTTGAGTTTGCATGCATCCAAACTTTCCAGTTTTTTCATCACAACAGTAATGACATAAATAAAATGACCAACATAAATATAGTGACCATACATGAGTGAAATGACTGCACTAAACCTGCACACGAATCTGCACTCGTACAATCGCCGAAAAGTTAAACATGAAACATCTCCTACGATACACGCACAGAACAGACTCACCATCATCAGCACCTCTGCTGTCACAGAAAAAACACTCATATTCCACTGAGTCGTGTCATTTAAACTGACAGAAGCTGAACCGCGTCAGGGCACAGGAAGCAAGCTGTTTTTATCTGTTTATGCAAATGAGCCATGCGGTCTTAAGTTTCATTTCTGTAAAACTTAAACAAATGTGACAAAGCTTTTTTATATTAGTAAACCTGCTGATGTGGTTCTGGTTTATATGTTGTAAAGTTTAGTTTATTTATGCAGAAGATTTTAATAAAAAATCTGCTGCAGTGTTTGGTTTGATCTGTGCAATGGATCAGTGCTCCTCACCGCTAAAGGAGTTCATGGTTGTTTGTATTTTTCCTGGTTTATTAAATTAAATAAAGTTAAATTTTGAGCTTGTGCTTTTGTAAGATAACATTAAGAAACCAGGATTTATATATATATATATATATATATATATATATATATATATATATATATATATATATATATATATATATATGCTAATATATATCTTATAAAACTGATGTCGGCCATAAAGATTTATATATCTACTATTAGGGACTACTGTCACTACTACTACTACTACTACTGTCACTACTACTGCTACTACTACCAGTGATAATGATAATAATAATAATGAAATATTATTGTTGTAATTATTGTAATTAATAGTAGAGATAATAATAGGTATTATGGATGTAATAATAATTAATAATAATTAAAATAGTAATAGTGATAATGGCAGTGGAAATAATAGTAGGAATAATAGTGATAATAATAACAGTAATAATAATTAATAAAAAGAAAAGCCTTTAGGATTATGATTTTTGAGATTGTGACAGATGGTGAAAGATGATGAAGGGAACTGATGATGGTGAAAATAAATATTAGTTTGAGTATAGGGAATAATACATTTAAAAAAATTATAATTTAAAAAAAAAAAAAAAAAAAAAAGGAAGGAAGAGAGACAAAAGGAACTTCAATTATAAATTGGCCACAGTGTATCAATGTTGGGGAGTCTAGCGGTGTATTTATGTTGCACTATCACATTTATATTGTTTTGACTTTGTGTCGTGTGGGCGGTTGGGGGAAATGGGGGGGCTTTTTTGTATTTGTTGTGGTGTTGTGGTTGTTGCTTTATGTTTTTGTTTTTATGTTGAATATTGCAATTGTTAAACGTTGATGTTTGTTTTGTTTTTTGAATGTTATGTTCTGTTGTCTTTAATTAAAAAAAAAAAAAAAAGAAACCAGGATATTCCATTTGATCATGTTCACAGGGATATGAGTGTCCTGGTTTCTCAGCGCACATGTAAACACAGTATCCCGAATACTGACATAACCGGGACGTGGCTAATAACACTTATAGACATGAGTGGAGACGTAATCATTAGTACAACCCCAGTAAACTGCAGCACTCACATGTTGTTAGCGCCCCCTGCAGTCTGCGCCGTGTCCTGCTGCTGCCTGCTCTCTCTCTCCTGCGCGCCGCTCTGCTCGGCGTGTTTGGCCTCGTTCAGAGCATCGCTGATGAACAGGCCTTCGTGAGTGAGGTAGGCCAGCTCCGCCGCGCCCTGCAGCTGCAAAGCATTCTGGGAAACTTCGCTGGGGTCGGACGCGGCGGCCTCGAAAGCCTTGTGCTTCTGGTGAGAGTCCAGCGCCTCCAGGACCACTTTACGGATCACGGTCAGAGTCGACTAAAGGACAAAAAGAAAACATTTTAAAATAGGAGAAGCATTTGGTCCGGAGTCCAGTGTGTCAGTCTGAAGTCTAAATAGAAATACATTTACTAGATTTTGCTTGTGTCTGCTGTATATTTATAATCTATGACCTGTGGATCATTATGATATAACCTGGACATTTTAAATCACAATATTCATCTAAAAAGTCTTTAGAAACAAGTGCGCTGATTTCCGCATTTGAAAACTGCGGTGTCCAATGGAAGCTGACATTGCCTGAAACTAGGGATGGGCATGATTAGTCGATTAATCGATAATTGATCATTAAGAATTTCATCGATTACATAAATTTTAATTGACAAACCGAATGTAGGTTGCTGTGCGTAGCGTGACCAAACAGGTGTGTACATGTGTCTCTGCATCAGAAGGAGCGAGACACAAACAGTGGGTCAGTCTGTAACGAACCGAAGCACAAATGTGGATTTAACGATGATTTGTACAAGAAATTCCACACTTTCCGTTGCGTTCGGGATAAGTGTGAGTCCATGTGCACAGTGTATAAAGCAGCACATATGTTTCTGTGTCCAGTGGGAAAAAGTTTTTCCAGGTGAGAGTCGCTCAATGTGGATGACGAGGCCCCGCCCCCCTACCCCCGTACGCTGTCCTGGTTTTAACAAACACAAATCTGGTCACACTGACCTGTATTCACCTGAGTCATGTCTTTTAATCCGACAAAAGTTGAACCACATCAGCGACACAAGAGCTGTAGTTTTATCTTCGCTTATTTTATGCAAATTAGCGATGCGGTTTTAAGTTTCATTTCTGTGAGATTTGAACAAAACTGAATTAAACACATTATAATGTCAAATGGGCTGATGTGGCTCTAGAGTGTTCACGGTTTATATGTCGTAAAGTTGAATTTATTTATGCAGATTAGTAGTGCAGATAGTAATAATAATGATGATCATTTTAATATAAAAACATTAATGATTAATCGATAATCGATCGTTAATTCTTCCGACGATCGATTGAGAACATTTCATCGAATGCCCATCCCTACCTGAAACATCACAAAAAAGCGTTGCATCCTGTCAGCATTTTCAGTGGATAGCTGCACATCACACTAGAGATGTGTACCAAATCAAAAAATAAAATAAATAAAAATGACAACACACTGCTGAAACGTTATGTTATGTCACGTTAATGTTCAAAATGACCTTCTCTAGTCTAAATAATTGTCTACTGTTTCCAATTATCATCGTGGTTTCAGTATTGAGTGTTGAGTCTGTTCTTTAATATCGAAATCAAGTTTGAAATTTTAGTATCGTAACAACACGACCTGCTATATTTTGTCAAATTTTTTGGGGGAAACCACTTCCACAAATCACAAAACAGGCCAAATCCACAGGGGTCTTACGGTGGAACAAAACTGTTTTTTTTTAAATATTCTCTAGATTAGGACCCTGCATTTGGTTCCATATCTCCATAAATATTTAGGTCCAAATTTTATGTAGATTATTAATATTTAGAGGCTGCTCAAGACACTTGCGCTTTATCAGGGGTCTACAAACCTTTTTCCTGAAGTGAGCTACTTTAACAAAATGAAAATGCCAAAGAAAATGAGTAAATTTAAGAGCCACAGCCTTAAAGGGACAGTTCAGAATTTTGCACATAGGACCTAATTTCCTCGTGAGCCAGAGTACTGTAGATATGTGGAGACACTTTTTGAAATAAGCCATCCAGTCCTTGTATTTGGAGAGGTCGCTGGTGTTGTCAATGGTTAGGGGTGGGCGATATCTCGATATTTTAAATATATCGTTTTTAAACTCGATATGAATTCTGACATATCGTATAAATAGATATAATACTTATATTCAATTCTGATTTCGCCGCTTCGCTTGTTTACCTTACCTTTACCTCTCGTCGCCCCCGCCTCCCTGATTTTGTTCGCCCGTGTCTCCTTCACTCTTCACTGTCGCCGTGAACGCCAAAAGTTGGAGCCAGTGAAAAGCTTCAAGCACCACAAACCTTTTCCACCATTTACAAACAAAACCATCAGCAGCACATCCTCATATTCCACTGAGTCATGTCCTTTAACCCGAAAGAAGCTGAACGAGCTGAGCTGCAAGAGAAGTGCTGTTTATGCAAATGAGCCATGCACTTAAGTCTCGTTTCTGTAAAATGTAAACACACGTGCACAAAACTGCATTAAACACATTATTATCTCAAACAGCTGATGTGGCTCTAGAGTCGTTTTGCTTTATTTATTGTAAAGTTTATTTATGCAGAAGATTTTAATTAATAATCTGCTGCAGTGTCACTTGTACAATAGTGTTTGGAAACGTTGGGTTTGATCTGCAGTGGATTGTGGGATTAAACCTCAGAGCTCCTCACTGCTGGATAATAACATGGATCTATTGAAATAAGGAACATCCTGAGCTTCTTCTGCTAAAGGAGCTCATGGTTCTGGTTCTGGTTTGGATAAGAGACTTAATACAAAGATGAGCTTGTGTTGAGTTGTTTTATTTATGAATGAAAAGAAGGAAATATGTTTTATTTATTTTTATTTTACAGTTAAATTATTATTTATGTAATTAGGGTTTTTTGTAATCTTAAATGTTCCTGTATGAACTGCTGACCTCTTACACTTTAATTAAAAAAAAGGACCTTGTGGAATTTGGCAGATTTGTTTTTGCAGTTTTCAGTTTTAGGGGGCTATTTTTTTCTTGAACATATATCGAGATATATATATATATATCTAGATATATCATATATCGAGATATAGCAAAATATATCGAGATATATTTTTTGATCCATATCGCCCAGCCCTATCAATGGTCATAGTTTATCCTGTCACTAAAACACAGTCTTACCCACTCCACAAAACAACCGAAGAAAATCTATTATTACACCAGACTGTCCATGTAAATGTCTGTGTTGATAGAATAATGTTTGAAATAAAACTAACCTTGCATCCCATGAATCGTCGCATGTTGAGGGACTATTTTCTCTCGGAATTTTACTCTGCTCTAGTTCATTGTGATGATGTGAACGTGACCAAATCTAGAACAGGCTTCTTCGTGTGCTCTACGTGTCTGGTGTAATAACAGATTTGTTTCGGGTGTTTTGCGGAGCGGGTAAGACTGTGTTTAGTGGCAGGATAAACTATGACCGTTGACATGCACTAGCGACCTCTGCAAATACAAGGACTGGATGGAATATTTCAAAAAGTGTCTCCACACGTCTCCAACTCTCTGGATCACGAGGAAATGAGGCCTTATGTCCAAAACGTCGAACTGTCCCTTTAAATGGAGTGCAGTTAGATGTTTATGTGCTTATTTAGTGTAGTGGTGCGCAAAAATATCAGAATATCGATATATCGTATCGTTTAATGTGGTGATACAGTATCGATATCATGGGCTGCTGTATCGATATATCACCAAGAGTATTTTAAGGTGTGTTTTACTAAATTATTTTGTTTCAGTGCTACAGTTTTGCTGCTTGTGGAGTGAAAGGAAAGAGTCAAACCTGTCACAACTGAACTCACCTTGATCCTCTGCAGAAACAGGAGGAAACAGTCAAAGACGTTCTTCAACAGATCGAACCACTGAGGAAACGTCATCACGCGCATCTGATCGGCCAGCCTGAGAAAAATTTCAGACGCAAAAGATTAGACGTGCCTTCTCATTCGATATTTGTTTACTGTGTTTACTACTTTCTACATTTCAGATTCGGAAGATTAATATATAACGAGACAAATATATGAAGCAAGACGTATGTAGAAAAGAAAAAAGGTGAAATAACTCAAGTAAATATTTAAATTTTTTATATTAAAATCGTCAAGAGTCTCCATCCTTTGCTTTGTTGACAGTGTTGACAAACCCTTGGCCTTGTATCAGTGAGCTTTATGTCCTAAACTTTATGAACTAAACTAGGACTAAACCAAGATTAAAACCAGAACTAAACTGGGACTAAAACAGGACTAAACCAGGACTAAAACCAGAACTAAACTGGGACTAAAACAGGACTAAACCAGGACTAAAACCAAAACTAAACTAGGACTAAACCAGGACTAAAATCAGAACTAAACCAGGACTAAAATTAGAACTAAATTAGGACTAAACTAGAACTAAACTAGAACTAAACCAGGACTAACACCAGGGCTAAACTAGAACTAAACTAAAAAGCATGACAATATCAAGTAATTCAAAGTATTCAGATTACGTTACTCACTTTAAGTAATTTAATGGATTACGTTACAAACTACATTTTGGGGTATGTAATCTGTAATCTGTAGGGGATTACATTTTAAAAGTCACCTTCCCAACACTGTCTATTTATAATTCTGTGCATTTCTATTGTAAAATATGAATAGTTTTAGAGATAATCACTAATTCTAACAGTTCCTTTGTCTTTCAGTGTAGCTGTTAAAATTGTAATTGGAACGAAAATAATTTCTTGTTTTTCTGGTGAATCACAACATACTTAGTCACACAACTAACAGATACACAACTCATGAAATTAAAACACAGACGTTCTCATGTGTGACCAACATCACACACATGTTCATGGGCCTGTACAGATACACACATTGCATTGTGGATATAATGATCATGTGATATGGGCTGGACTCCTCATAAACTGCTTCTGTGCTGATGAACTGACCCACCAACGCCTCATGGGGACTAGGTTGATATCTTTTTTTTATTTTTAGTTTTATTTATTTAAAAGGGACAATGTATATTCATGAACATATACTTGTAAATATGCCAGAATTAGCCCAAAGGCGACTTTTTATCTGTAGTCCCTGGCAGGTCAGAAAGACAGAAACATAAAAGATAAGAACATAAAACGCGTCACAATAGACAAACACACAAGCATGACATACAACACTGACATTTACATAGGAGCAGAACATTAGTGGTTACAGGTCTGGTTTCTCTTAAGCCGTCCTTTCAGATTAATTTTAAATGAACTGAATGTGGTGCAGTCTCTTATAGCAGCTGGGATGTTGTTCCAGATTTCTGTTCCTTGACTGATCACACCTGTTGACTGAAAGTTGTGCGTCTAGTGCAGAGGTGCTCACACTTTTTCATCATGTGAGCTACTTACAAAATGAGCAAGTCAAAATGATCTGCCTAATACAAAGCCAAGCAAACTGCACTGAAACACTCTGTGCCCCTTTTTTGGACCCTCACCCACAGTTTGAGAACCTCTTCTTTAAGAGAACTTCCTCTGGCACTTTACACAAAACTGTGAAAAAAGTGAAGGAATATTTTTAAACCTGTTTTTTAAAGTTCCAAACTGGAGGTGCATTCTTTTTTGGTTTTGCAGTGATATTTTCCAGCCTCTGCACGTTTACCAAACCAAACACACATCGTGACAAACACAGATGCATTTGTGCACTTTTGTTAGACAAACTTCAGCCAAATGTGGCAGTAGGTCTGTTCTGTAGATCCGCTCTATGCTGTAGACTTGCTTTGTGCCAACACTGGAACACAAATTTAGACTGGTTTTTGCTTCACGTTTGGTCTTGCTCTTCTAATCAGCGCACTGTGGGAGGGGCTTGTGTTCGCTGTACGCAGGAAGGAGCGAGAGCGTGAAAAGGCGAGGAGCGGCGTGCACCCCTGGTCTATAGGGTATTGCACTGCCTCTGATAGAGGCTCTTGTTCCCCGACCACTAGTGCTGGACGTGAGCTTAATGAACTCACCCAGAGCTGGTGGAGCGACTCCATTTAAGACTTTGTAGACTGAGCAGGCGAGTTTAAATTTTTGAAAATTTCCAAAACTTACGATATTATACTTCTGCAGTATGAGACAATGATGAAACGATAAAGATTTCCTATCAAATATCTCTGATTGTTCTTGTTCTTGTTCTGTTTTCAGGTTCAGCCGTTCAAAGAGAAGTCATTTTGTGTCTTGGAATCTGCTGCACATACACTCACCCAAGACTGCGCAGCCTTCATTGCAAAATCTGGAAAAAACTTCACCAACTGGCAACAAATTTTGGACTTGGAACCAAAAATTTAAAGGCCAACATCGAGCTGGACTTAGTAGTTTTCAAGGTTTTTTGGGACCCCTGTATATCAAACGTCAATTTGACAAACAGATCATTTTTTTAAATTTCCCGAAAATAAAAAATACTGACTTTTATTCCACCTTTTATTTAACTATTATTTAACTTTTATTTTAAAAAAATTTCTACAAAGTCTTCCGCTCCAGAACACACACTTTTACTGACAGAGGATTGGTAATTAGAAAAAAAGACTGCACATAACTTATCTTGACATGTATAGGATTCTTGTATTGGTTTATCAGTTTAGATTTCAGTCTTCTCAGAAATGTTTATGCGTAAAATGTGCACCGTGAACTACTTTTTTAAAATCACAATACTTGAAAAAGACTTACTTGGTGACGACTTCAGTGTCAATTTCTTCTATTTGTAAAACGCAGTCGGCCACGCACTGAAAAACAAAATGAAAGGATCCACGTTACGCCGTTTTCTGATCGATGTTATGTTGTTTCCTCATCACAAATATTTATAATTTGCAGTGACACCACTATGGGGGAGGGGGGGGGTTCTGTATGTATGTGTACAGCAGGATATTCAGCAGTTACCACGGTGACCACTGCTGGGCAAGTTACTTCAAAACTGTAATGTGTTATTTACTTATGACTTGTTTCTGTCGTTTTGAAGTAATTTGTTCCATTACAATATTACTGTGTTTAAAATATAAAACATTTCACGACTATTGTAGCACTTTAAGAGACTCAACCAAAGAACTGTCGCTGATCGTCAAAAATAACAATCAGCGAGCGAAGATATCGAACTTCTGCGCCGTATACGGACTGAACCAGGTCTAAACCAGGACTGAACCAAGAATAACCAGGTCTAAACAAGGTCTAAACCAGGTCTAAATCAGGTCTAAACTAGGACTAAACCATGTCTGAACCAGGACTGAACCAGGACTGAACAAGGACTGAACCAGGACTGAACCAGGACTGAACCAGGACTGAACCAGGACTGAACCAGGACTGAACAAGGACTGAACAAGGACTGAACAAGGACTGAAACAGGACTAAACCAGGTCTAACCCAGGACTAAACCAGGACTAAACCAAGTTTAAACCATGTCTAAACCAGGACTGAACCAGGATTACACCGGGACTAAACCAGGTCTAAACCAGGTCTAAACCAGGTCTAAACCAGGTCTAAACCAGGTCTAAACCAGGACTAACTGTCATTTCACCACTGCTATCGCAGTGATTTTAGAGAATGTGTATGAAGAAAAACAAAAAACCCACACTGATAGTGACACAGACATTAGAAAATGCAAACACAGCCAATTGTGACAGTAATTTAATGTGTGAGACACTTGTTTAACAGCACAAATCAGATCACCTGCTGTATTTCCAACTAAACCAGGTCTTTATGGTCAGATTGGGCTAAAATAAAGATCAGATTAAAGCCTAATTTGAGTAAGAAGGTGTGTTTACCTGGTTGACGATGGCTTTCGCAGCTGAAATCATCTCTTCGTTGTAAATGTCCAGAAAGTCCAGCTTCCTCTGACGCAGCAAACCGAAGACCAGTGATTCCAGACGCTCCTGAACGCACCACAAAACACAAACAATAAAGAATACTCTAAAAAATACCTGTTCTTTAATACAGTGATTGTATTGGACAGATTAGATTGAAAACCCATGTAAAGGTCCTATATTACACTATTGTTAATCTATATTCTAATGTAGTTTCCTCCTGGAGTTGCGTTTTGTTTCATTCTTACATGTTTAACACACAAACCCTGCACATTTAGGCTCAGTTCTTCTCTCAAACAGACAAGAAATGCTCCACTGTGTTTTTAAACTCCACCTTCACTAGAGTTATTTGGATTTTTTCAGTCGTGGAATTGACAAACTTTGAAGTTCCTCACTGAAACTGCTTCAGTCCTCAGAGCAATAACAGATATTAGAGACTTTATATCCACAACCTCAACTGAACAAAAAGTAAAACTAAAATATTAAAAAAAGCCAATTTCTTAAGGTTATTCAGTAACACTTTATAATAACTACACCTTATTTGGCCTTAATAAAGCATGAACAAAGACTTAATTAATAATGATTCACGCTTAGTAACTACTTAATTACTACCTGAATTAGCACTTAACTTGCACTTAATTCACCGCTGTAAATAGTTACTCATAAGTATTTCTGACTTAATTACTCATGAATTAACCATTTGTGTGTGCATTTGTAAATGTATATTTAAGTACAAATTTGAGCATTTATTAATGATTAGTAAACCATGAGAGAATGATTTACTAGTAATGCATTATTGTTTCTCTGGAATTTGACCAACCTTAACAAATGCATAATAAAGCATAATTCATCTTCACTTTAGAAAAGCTCTCAGAAAGACTTAACTAACAGATAACAGCTGCCTGAATGATCATTGCATTGCATTATTAGTAAATCATTCTCTCATAGCTTATTAATCATTAATAAATGCTCAAATGTGTACTTAAATATGCATTTGTAAACATGGAAATGGTTAGTTCATGAGTAATTAAGAAGTATTAAGTTACTATTTACAGCACAGGCCAATTAAGTGCAAGTTAAGTGCTAATTCAGGTAGTAATTAAGTACTTACTAAGCGTGAATCATTATTAATCAAGTCTTTGTTCATGCTTTATTAAGGCTAAATAAGGTGTAGTTATTATAAAGTGTTACCGGTTATTCCAGTACAGACATGTCAAACTGAGGCCCGGGGGTGAGTTGAGATCATATCAAATCTGTATTAGAGCTGCCCACCGGCTACAGATCGACTACAGAGACATTACTTATTTAAAATGTTATTATTTTATATTCTGCTTGCTCGGGATTCAATTTTAAAGCAAAACTATTATTAAACATTTATTTTAATAAGAAAAGGTTTAACATTACATATCTCGAAAGAAGAGCAAACATGCAGAAGTTGTTGAAATTTTTAAATAAATATTTTGTTTGGCCCACGACTTAGTCCCAGTTTTTAATTTTGGTCCAATGTGAATTTGAGTTTGACAGCTCTGTTCTAGTGTGTTGCAGAGTAGAACAGTTCAACTGAGGCTAAACAGAGCTGCTAACGTTAAAACTAAAGCTTCATGACATCACAAGGTGGAACAGCATTTTGAGCTTTGGAGACAGACTAATAATATAGGCGAGTTTCGGCTGACGTCATTGTTATTAAAAGCCCGCGTTGCATGCTGGAAAATATTTTGGTCGGAGGCAAGAAACATGATAGCGTCAAACACAGTGCGTAACCTCACGTATTTATCCCCAATAATGGTAAATTCCTGCTGCATCCATTATCAGATGCACAAATAGAAGCACGGAAGAAGGAAAATGTCTTTTTCGTATTCAGAGTGAAAAGAACCACTAACGGTGAATTAAACGACTTTCAAACATCCACAGAGCAAACGTAGAAGATCCTAACAAACCGTGGACTCCAACAAGTTCAACAACACATCGAGACTCTTGGAGGTTTTCATCTTTTCTGCTGTGAATGGCCCAGGAGTTTCCACCAAGTCATTGTGGATATCGCCCAAGTGAACATTTGCCCAGGTAGATGGTGAGTCTGACCAGAAATTTGGTTTGGTCCAGGCTCTGTCGGAGTTGAAAAGGGTGATTTGGCGTCCGTCGATGCTTATGACCAATTTCTGGTCAAATGGTCTTGGGTCCTCTGCCGTTAGAGTGGATAAATAACCGGGATCAATACCCTTTACGTGTTTTCTCGCTCCGTCCGTCATGTAGAATTAGTGTTTCTTGCCGCCGACCAAAATAATCCCCAGCACGCAACGCGCGCTTTTGTCAACAATGAAACTCTCCTATAGAGTTACTCAAAACAAGCATGAATGAAACAAAACACAACTCCAGGTCTGTTTTTCATGAGGTAACGTTATAACATAACTAAAAGCTCACAAGCATGAGTTTTGTGTAATATAGGAACTTTAAATTAATTAAATTCTACACTTAACTGATCAGGTATCAAATGTTTAAATTATTGAACCAAAAATAAAAATGTCATCCATTCATTCAACACTTTTTTCTACAAAGAAAAAAATAAATAAAACCCATGATTTAAAACCTTCCCCCATTGAAAAGTATTGTAATTATAAATTCATCATACGACTAAATGTTTCTTTCACCTTCTCTGTGGCAGCGTTTGGGGTCTTAACCTGTGATGGGTACAATATTTATTATTTCAACTTAAATATTTCACAAAAAAATAAATTAAATGTGGTGTGTGTGTGTGTGTTGGTGGAGGGAGACGGGGCAGACTCGCAGCCTCACTTCTGTCTGCAAGTGTATTAAAAGGCGCCATAAATATCCAATTCATTATTATAATTATGTGCTATTGTATTTGCGTATTTTTATTTATTATTATTTACTTATTGAGTCAGTTACCTCAGTTTTAAGCACATTTAACCATAAGATCAATTCAGTCCTGGTCAGATGTGTGTAAACTGCGTCGTTGTGCGTTGGCGTTACCTTCTCCAGGACCTGAGGCTCGTCCCTCAGGCTGCGGTTCAGATCGCTCCGAGCGTAAATACTGAAGTCCTCCACCATCATTTTATCAATGAGCTTCTCCAGCTCACACAGCTGAGAGCCCAGGTGTCTGCAACAGCCACAGACAAACACGTTTAGACTCTGACAAACTTTACTCATCTAAAAGAGAAATTATTTGGACACAGTAGCTCAAACATCACAACATAATATAATAACTTACTGTATACTGTATTTTTTGGACTATAAGTTGCACTGTTTGGATGTTTCCTGTGACTTACATATTAAAATTTTCAGACTGACAGCTGCGAGAGGCTCTCGTCTTGTGTGTCAGTATCTTGCACTCCTGTACCACTGTCACTTGGCTCTACTGCGCATGTCTCCTGTAGAAAGAGCTGCTGTATATTCAGCTGAAATATTCAGCCGAAATCGATAATCGAGCAGAAAGAAAGAAAGTTTGGAGTGAGCGAGAAACTTGTGAGGGACTGGCGGAAAGCAGGGATGGAGAACACAGCTTCACGGAACCAGGAGGGTACGCCATGAAACTTTCCTGAAGTCACTGGATGGATGGACAAAGCCTGGACTTCATTTTCTTTATAATTTTAACTTTATTTATTTTATTATTTAGTTTTTTACAAATAGATGTGTATTTGTAAATATATCTTTTTTCATTAGCAAAAATACATTTGTAAAACTGAAAATTCTGTTTGTAAAACGTGATTCGCGTTTGTGCATCACCAATTACACGGATTCGCAGATTTCCTCTATGATGTATTTTTGAGAAATCCACAAATGCAGCCGATTAACTGAAACTCAGATGAAAAAAGATTTATTTACAAATAGACATCTATCTGTAAAAAACAAAATAATAAAATAAACTGTAAGTGTCACTTTTTTCATGGTTTGGGTGTTTCCTGTGACTTATATATTAAATTGTTTTTGGTGAAGTGTGGAGAGGTTCTAGTCTTGTGTGTGAGGATCTGCTGCTCCTGTTCCTCCTGTAGCACTGTCACTTGGCTCTACTGCGCATGTCTCCTGCAGAAAGAGCCTCTGTCCTGTCTGTATCATGTCAGTCGATCGCAACGTCACTAAAAATCTAACATTTAAACAAACTTATAAAGACGACAACATCGAGCAGCAGAAAGAAAGTTTGGAGTGAGAGAGAAACTTGTGACACCGGGAGGAGGCACCATGAAACTTTCCTGAAGTCACTGGATGGATGGACAAAGCCTGGACTTCAGTGACACGGAAACCATCCTGTCGGGATTCAGAAAGAACCGAATAATTCTAACTGGAACTGATGCTGAGTCTGACAACAGCGACACAGAAGAGGAAGCAGCGCTCTGTTTACCTCATGGATCTATGGTTTATCTCCGGAGGTTGCGCAGAAGTGACACCGAGGATGAAGAATAGAATGGATTAAGTGATTTGGAGTGAGATCGTGAGTTTGGTAAAATTGTTATGTTCTGTTGTTTATGCAATAGTTATCTGAATAACTTTTAATATGTTACATTAACAGATTAACGTCTATTCAGCCTGTTGTTCTCTGTACTATTGTTATTACTAGAACTTGCCTTTCAAGATGAAATGTCGGAGAATGAAATATCTTACAAAATACATTTCCCAAAAAAAAGTGCGATTTATAGTCCGGTGCAACTTATATTTGTTTTTTTCTTCTTCATTACACATTTTTTGGCTGATGCGACTTATACTCCGAAGAGACTTATAATCCAGAAAATACGGTAGTTATTATATAGTCTGGTCCAGTGCATGGGTTGTTGTACAGTTGTAGGGAGTATTATCTGACTGGTGCAGTGGGTGAGTTGTTGTACAGTTGTAGGGAGTATTATCTGTCCGTCTATAGTCTGGTGCAGTGGGAGAGCAGGAGTGAGAGGACTCATTTTGTTCTTAAAATGTTTGTTTAATAACGCTGTAACGCTCTACATGATCCAGATTTTTTTTATTTTGCTATTTTGTTCCTAAATGAAGATATGAACATAAATAACGGACCAATCAGACGCCTTCATTCCCCAAGATTGCATTTTGTTGCTAAGTGAGCCTCCTTTCCACTTTCCTGCCCCGACCACTGCCAGGGGTGATGGTCACTACATTTTGACAGGTTCGAATGACATTTACCTTTCTCCAGTGACGACACGACTTTTTGGGGCTTTAACAACTGGATGGAGGCATTTAAACTATCATTTAAAACTCTCATTAGAGCGCTGCCACTTTGTGGATTTAACTGTGTTGGATGATAGTTCGTCACCGAGTGCATCTAACAACTTTAACTTTTAGACAATTTTTGGGGGGGTTGTTGTAGTTTTTAATTTGTTCTATTAGTCTATTAGTCTAATGTACTAATACTAACACTAATATGTGAAAAATCCCTCAGTTAGAATCCAAGACAAAGGAGAAAATTCAGTTTGTCGACTGGACAAAAGTTTGTTGCTGCTTCTTCAGTTTTGGTCAGACGCTGGTGAACACTTCCTTATATCTGTCTGCATGGAGGAGCTAAATAACTACTCTGAAACTAACACACACACTTGTTTACAGTTTCTGTTTGTTAGTTCGGCCTATTGAGCTGCACTGAGTGTGGGGTCTGATTATCATAATAATTCATGTCCAGAATGGACCTTCCACACCTCTGGACCTGACCTGACTACACCTGTTGTTCTCTTGTTTGTTTTGATTTAGGTTTAAGGATAGAGTTGTAAATGGGAGACAGATGATGTCTGAAGCCTAGTTTAGAGAATAATTCTCTTTCTTTAACTTTAATCTTTCTTTTTTATTTCAGTCCCCTCTCAAACCAATTCTTGTCTCTGGCTAAGATCTGTCCACCAGTGTCTGACCAGAACTGAAGAAGCAGCTTGGTTGAGCTGCGAAACGTATTTGACCAAACAAACTTTTGTCCAGTCGACAGAACAGATTTTTCTCCTTTGCCACTAATGAGGGGTGTGCAAAAATACTGAAATATCGATATATCGTATCGCTTAATGTGATGATACAGTATTGATATCATGGGCTGCTGTATCGATATCGCCAAGAGTATTTTTTGTATATTTTACTCAATAATTTTATTACAGCACTACATTTTTGTTGTTTGTTTAGTGGAAGGAAACACATTTATGTAACACATTTGACATTTTCACAGTTTTGAGGGTTAAAATGGGCATGTTTCTTATTCACGCACCAATGATTTATTAAAGATTTTTAGTATCACAGCCACGATTTAGCCTTTATTTTTATTGAACCGTATCGAATCGATTTGAAATATATCGTATCAAATTGAAAGTGCACTGTATCGTGATATGTATCGTATCATGGTCTATGTATCGTATCGGCAACTTCTGAATGATACCCAGCCCTACCACTAATACTTTAAAATGTATTTGTGCTAATAAACTTTCAAAGACCCTGATGTCCAGTTTTTCCGGTAAGTAAAATTTTAAAAATAAACTGATGGTAATTGATTTATTAGTTAAATAACCCCTTATAGATGTATAAACACCTAGTTTTGACAAATCTGAAAATCTTGCCCAGCAAGACTAATTTAACATGACTGGCTCATCAATTTTACAGCTGTGCATAAAATGTGCATTTGAAGTGGCAGTGCTCTACACAACCATAGACGCATTTATGCACACAACAGTGGAAGCAGTTTGAAGTCTTCTTTTACACTTTTCTGTAAAAAATGCCAGATGTACAGTATTTTCTGCACTATTAGTCACTCTGGATTATAAGGCGCACTGTCGTCAAATGGTCTATTTTCGAACTTTTTTCACAAATAAACCGCGTGGGACTTTAAAGGAAACCCAACAGTGTGATGGGTGAGTGGTTTTGTTTGTTTGTTCGTTCACGGTGACTCTGGGCTTTGTTCAGTTGTGGCGTGTAGGGAGGTGCTGTCTGGGACCGCTGGATTGTCGGCGTGTTCGCAGTGACTCGGTTGTTCAGTCGTGTCTAGAAGCGGCACATTGCGCTCGCTTTTTCGGTTCGTTCCTCCGTTCCGTTCCTCGTCGGCGTGGAGTGATGATTGTGTCTGTGGGTGTTTTTCGCCGTGCGGTCGCTGTCTGCTCCGTGTGTGTTTGCGTGAATCCATGTATTATTCGTTCACTTGTTTTTCAATATAAAACCAAAAATAAGAAAATGAAAAAAAAAAACTATTTTCTTCATTATTTGTCTCCAAAACCAAATAACGATTTGTTTTTTCAGTTTTCGATTTTGTGTTTAAATGAAAAATGGAAAAAAAGGACAACGGCCGTTTCCCGTTTACGTGACTTCCGTGATTGCAATGCAGGACTTTTGCACTGCATGCAGACTGAACCAGGACTGATCCAGGTCCAGGACCAGACCGGGACCAGACCAGAACTGAGACTGGGACAATACTGGGACCAGAGCGGGACCAGACCGGAGGCTCAGAGCCCACTGCAGGGTCGGAACTTGAAGCTGGAGCTCGGACCCTGCAGAGGCTCAGAGTCCGCTCTGGTCCTGGACCTGGATCAGTCCTGGTTCAGTCCGTATGCAATGCAAAAGTCCGGCAAAAGTCCGGCACCACAGTCACGAGAGTCACGTAAATGGATTGATCGTTTCCCGTTTCCGTGACTTCCATGACTGAGATGCCAGTTTTTTCGTTTTCTTATTTTTGGTTTTATATTGAAAAATGAATGAACGAATGATAGACAGATTTGTGTGTTCTGTGGGTGGTGCGGCTTTGTAGTTTACTGAAGTCGTGCTGGGACACCTGAGTGGATTCGTGTATGGGGCGCTCTGGATTGTGGGGCGCGATCGTTTTTTGATGCGGTTGGAGGTTTAAGAGCGCGACCTATAGCCCGGAAAATACGGTATAAAGATTATTTTATTCACACGGGCGGGCACATTTAACAACCTCAATCATGATTGGCTCTTGTGGTTACCATGATACTCGCGGCTTCAAATTCGCTAGTGTAACCATTAGTATCTGGAGCCTCATTTGCACTGCACTGAACGCTGTGGGTGACGTCACACTCACTTAGTCCACTTCTTTATACAGTCTATGGTCCAGTGTTGATATAGTATAATGTAATCATGTAATGTAATATAAGAGAAATGACTAGTGTTAAAGTGTTTTTTATTATCAGTGCGATATTGGAATCTGTATTGAGCATCGAATCTGTTCCTTAGTATCAAAAATGTAAATCGAGTTTGGAATTTTAGTATCGTGACATAACATTACACAATATAAAATCGTAAGTGCGTCTCACCTGAAGCTGTGTATTCCCTGCAGCTCCTGCTGTAGCACCTCTTTGGTGGTGGCGATGAGCTCTAGCGCCCCCACGAACTCGGAGGTGGACAGGAGTAACTGCACGGTGGGCTGGGTCTGGTGCACGGCGGCCATCAGCTTGAGTTTGTTGTGCAGTTTGACGCAGTTGTTTCGCGTGAGGGCGGATCTGAGCGCGCTGAGGGGCCCCCGGCACATGACCCGGTCCATGTCGGCGGTGCGCTGCCTCAGGACGGACACGGCCCTCTGTGTGTTCTGCAGACGGTCCTGGAGCTCGTGCTGGGACGACATGGCGTGAAAGAAGGCCTCGGAGCGGAGGGAGATCTGACGCGCGATGCTCACCTCCACCACGTCCAGGTAGTGGCTCAGCTGAGGGGAGAAAACGGAGAACAACACTTTAAACGAGCTTCTGTGGTTGCCATGGTCGTGATTGGCTGCTCCTGTGGCTGACTGGCACACACTTCGAACGAATCAAAGGTGAATTGTGTATCTTTGCTGGTAAAGGGTCTGATTTTCTCCATGGAGATGTTATGGCTTTGTTTGAAATGTTTCGTAATATTGGATTAAACCTTTCTATCATCATGGAGACCAAACAATGCCGAATTACTGGTCAGATCTGAGGTGAGTAGGGATGGACATTCGATGAAATTTCATTAATCGATTTTCGGGAAAATTAACGATCGATTATCTATTAATTATTAATGTTTTTATATTAAAATTATCATCATCATTATTACTACTAATCTGCATAAATAAATTCAACTTTACGACATATAAATCATCACCGCTCTAGAGCCACATCAGCTGTTTGACATTATAATGTGTTTGATGCAGATTTGTTCAAGTCTCACAGAAACGAAACTTAAAACCACATGGCTCATTTGCATAAAATAAGCAAAGGAAAAAACAGCTCTTGTGCGCTGATGCGGTTCAACTTTTGTCAGATTAAAGGACACGACTCAGGTGAATACAGGTTAGTGTGACTGTATTTGCGTTTGTCAAAACCAGAACACCGTACGGGGGGAGGGAGGTGGGACCTCACACTTGTCTCGACCAGGACGAAAAGTGGGGAATTTCTTGTAGAAGTCTTCGTTAAATGTGCATTTGTGCTTCGGCATATTGCAGGCTGACCAACTGTTTGTGTCTGCTCGCTCCTACTGAATCCAGAGAGCTAGGAGAGACGCTCAGTTTAATGGCTCAATGTATGGAAATGTAAACCTGAACATTTGCATGATGTCCGGGGAAAAACGGACGTTTGCTCACCCTACGCTACGCACAGCAGCCTACATTCAGTCTGTCAATTAAAAATGAACGTAATTGACAAAATTTTTTATGATCAATTATCGATTAATGGACCAATCATGCCCATCCCTAGTGGCGAGGTGACCCCGCTCACAGTCAGAATGTCTGTTTTTGTGTCAAACAATGTCCAAACTTATAAAAATCGAGTTGAAACGATTTACATGCCGGCGAAATTGAGGACAGGGGAGCGATAACCAGAGTTTTGTGAGGATTTGGATACATTTTTGTCTTTCTATGCCTTATTTCATGTTCATATTTTCAAAGTATATTTGATTCATTTTATGTTTTATATGTCACAAAACAGGTACCTAGTTGTAGCCTATAATATTATTTAATTTGAAAGTTTTGTGTAAATGATCAATAACAAAGTGTTTTCTATTTCTTTGAGAGAGAGAGAAATGCTCATTTTAATAATCCCGATTTCAATATTGACCAAAATAATCTTGACAATGATTTTTTCCATAATCAAGCAGCTCTACAATGCAGCTTTAAATTCTATTCTAATACATGAACAGAGCCTATTTACACGGATGAACTGAATCCGATGGGTGATCGAACTGACCTTTTCCTGCAGAAGTTTAGAGGAGGCCACGTCTCTGCTGCTTTTTCCCCCAGCGCTGTTAAAATGAGACCAGGGCAGAACTGCGTTAAAGGTGCCGGGGTCGTCCAGGGCGAAATCCGGCTTCATGAAGATCTACAACAACAAAAATATGAACAAAACATAAGTAACAACACCAACAAACGACTTCTGATTAAACAGGTTTGAGATTTAGAGAATTCAAAACAGTGCGTTACCTTTGGGACTTGTTCAAGCTCAGATTTAGTTTTATCTGAAAGGAAAACCGTGGAAATGGAAAATTGTTATTATCGTCCTTTATAGCAGCCACAAGCACAATAAGTTTTCTTTAAAGTTATAATCTATGACACTCGTGGATCATTTTGTTATAATTTGAATATTTTAAAACACAATATTGACCTAAAACGAGGTGATGTCGCTGTAAACATCATCAGAACAAAAAGTCCAACTGAGTATCAGATATCTTTAAAAAAAAAAAAGTGTTCATACCAAAATGAAATGTTTTGCGGTATTGCATTAAACTTTTCTATCATCATGGAGACCAAACAATGCCAAATTACCAGTCAGATTTGTGGAGAGGCAACCCCGCTCACAGACCCAAATGAGATTTTAACATAATTTCTAATATATACATTTCAGCTTCCAGTTTTGGTCTCACAGTTTTTTATTTATTTGATTTCATTTTTTTGTTTCCATTCTAGCGCTCCTTTTTGGAACGGTAAGAGATGTAACTCACCAACCCCTGACAATCCGCGTGTCATTCGGTCATTCCTTCTTCGAAATAAAACCAAAAGTAAGAAAAAAATATATATAAATTTCTTCATTATTTGTCTCCAAAACCAAAATGGAAAAAACAAATAACGGCCATTTCCCGTTTCATCCAATTCTGACCATGGATCTATAATAAAAACTGAAGATGCTGGGTATCATTAAGAAGTTGCCGATACGATACATACCTCGATACATAGGCCACAATACGATACATATCTCGATACAGTGCACTTGCGGTTTGATACGATATATTTCAAATCGATTCGATACGGTTCAATAAAAACAAAAGCTAAATCACGGCTCTGATCCTCAAAGTCTTTGTTAAACCACTTCTTGTGCAAAGTTCATCTGAAAAACACCCATTTTAATCATCAAAACAGTGAAAAAAAAAAAAAAAGATTCCTTCCTCTGAACGAGCCACAAAACTGTAGTGCTGTAACAAAATAATTTGTGAAAATATACGCCAAAGTACTCTTGGCGATATATCGATACAGCAGCCCACGATATCGATACTGTATCATCACATTAAACGATACGATATATCGATATATCAATATTTTTGCACAGCCCTAGATGCTGGACTTCTGTACTGCATTTTAGTCCTGTTTTAGTCCTAGTTTAGACAAACAAACTGTTATTCCTTTTTTTTCCCATTTTGGTTTTGGATATAAATAATTAAGAAAATACTTCTATTTTCATTATTTTATTTTACTTATTTTGAAAAATGAATGAACGAGTGATACACAGATTCATGACCCTATTTTGTCTTTACATCCAAATGTAAATACTTGAAAAAAAATCACGAGATAATTTTTCGCTTGTGCGCGCAAACTTGTGGCAATTTTGTCTCATGAGAGTTTTTGTCCAATCCCTACTGTTTTTTAAGGTATATTTGAGCAATAAAAACATCTCTAAAACTGTTTAATGTCATATTGTGGAACATTCAAAGAAATGCAATGACATATCCGTAAAAACAAGCATGTGAACCATAACCGAAAAAGTTACACAGTGCACCTTCAGCCAAGAATGGAGCGGTGGGCGTGAAAACTGGGGAAAATCCGAGAAATAATGTCTTGAATACAGGAACCTCTCTGATTTTGCAGAATAGGTCCACTTTAATTGATCCATTGGCCCATTAAGACTTGGCACCGGTGCTGTTATAAAACTGGGGTTCGATACACAAGCCTATTTCTGGTCCTGATTCACAAACACGGCACTGTCCTGGGATTTGGACATCAAGAGAAGCTTTTTGTTCTAAATTTATCAGGAATACAAAAAAGGCTCCCTGCTGAGATATTAAAAGGTTTTACTAATTCATCCGTACCGTGGTTGATGTTGACACTGGAGACTGAGTCCACGTCTTTGTTGGGGCAGATCGTCTTGCAGCGTTCGTGAATGCGCTCCCTCTAAAAATAACACACACACAGAGCTCACACCTCCTCTAAGGCATTGTCCCCGTCCCGCAATCACAAAGAACAGAGCAAAGGGTTCTGAGCAGGAAAGTATTTGTCTATAGACTCACAGCTCACAATCAACAATGTTCTTACTGTTCTCTTGTACTTCCGTCAGTCATTACAACAGTGAAAAAATCCATAGCACACTCAGACGGCCGATGACCAAAAGCCTTTATTATTTTTAAATTAAGTTTCGGCAAAATCCTTTTTCGTCAGATCATTTTTCTTGCTTTGAACCACAGTATATATGGATTATATATACCGTGTTTTTCAGATTATAAATCAATCCGGAGTATAAATCGCACCAGCCAAAAAGTGCGTAATGAAGAAGAAAAAAACATAAGTCGCATTTTTGGGGAGAAATCTACTTTATAAAATCAGAGACCAGGAACCAGCATTTCCAGTGTAAAGTGAAGTTGTAGTAAAAACAATAGAAGAGAGAACAACAGACTGTTAATGTCACATATGAACAGTTCTTCAGATAAACTATAACATAAACAACAGAACAAGTTTACCAAACTCTCCATCTCACTCCAAATCACTAAATCCATTAAATTCTTCATCCTCGCTGTCTTTCTGACAAACTCGGCTGCGACCTCCGGAGGTAAACAGAGCGCCGCTTCCTCTTCTGTGTCACTGTCGTCAGACTCAGCATCAGTTCCAGTTAGAATTATTCGTTTCTTTCTGAATCCCGACAGGATGGTTTCGGTGTCACTGAAGTCCAGGCTTTGTCCATCCATCCAGTGACTTCAGGACAGTTTCATGGTTCATCCTCCTGGTGTCACAAGTTTCTCTCTCACTCCAAACTTTCTTTCTGCTGCTTGATTATCGTTTTCAGCTGCAGATTTCACGACTTGCAGTTTGTAATCTGCAAAATCTGATTTTGTTTTTGGGGGCATTTGTGTTCAGTCTTCTCAGTCTTTGTCTTTATAAGTTTGTTTAAATGTTAATTGTTGAGTGGTGCAGAAGTAACGATGCGATCGACTGACATGATACAGACAGGACAGAGGCTCTTTCTGCAGGAGACATGCGCAGTAGAGCCAAGTGACAGTGGTACAGGAGGAACAGGAGCAGCAGATACTCACACACAAGACTAGAACCTGTCCACGCTTCACCAAAAACAATTTAATATACAAGTCACTGGAAACACCCAAACCATGAAAAAAGTGACACTTACCGTTTAGTTTATTATTTTGTTTTTTACAGAGAGATGTGTATTCGTAAATAAATATTTTTTCCATTTGAGTTTCAGTTAATCGGCTGTTTGTGCGTCCTTCTGCATTTGTGGATTTCTCAAAAATACGTTATAGAGGAAATATGCGAATCCGTGTAATTGGTGATGCACAAACGCGAATCACGTTTTACAAACAGAATTTTCAGTTTTTCAAATGTATTTTTGCGAATGAAAAAAAATATATTTACAAATACATATCTATTTGTAAAAAACTAAATAATAAAAAAATAAATAAAGTAAAAATTATAAAGAAAATATACAGTAGTGTTGCAGTTTTACTCTACATTAGTGTTATTTAGGGATGTAATTTAGGGATGCTGTATCATCAAAAGTCTCACAATAATATTGTGGGCTGTCACAATATATATCAAATCACAAGTTCCTTTGCTTAAATGTAGGTTTTATAGAAGCAGCAGCTCATAAACACAGGGAACTACATTTCCCATGATTCATTTCAGTGCAGACAACATGAAGAAATATGGTTTTTACTTGAATTCTTGGGACTGTGACGGAAATAATTCACACCAAAATCTTACACAGGAGGAACAGGAGCAGCAGATACTGACACACAAGAGTAGAGCCTCTCCACACTTCAATGTCAACATTTTAATATAGAAGTCACAGCGGAAACACCCAAACCATGAAGAAAAGTGTGACTGACAATCCGAAAAATACGGTACTGTGGTCCAACGCAAGAAAAATGATCTGACAAAGGATTTTTGCCAAAACGTTATAAAAAATTAAGAAAATTTTACAAAGCATTTGGACATCGGCCGTCTGAGTGTGCTGTGCATTTTTTCCCCACTGTTACATTGCTGCTCCTTACATTTGCACCTCTGCAGGAACTCTGGTTGGTTTGCATTTGCTGTTTTATTTGATTTTTTGTCAATCACCATCTTTGCACTTTTTCCTTACTACCTCATATATATATATATATATATATATATATATATATATATATATATATATATATATATATATATATATATATATATAATAAATAAAACTGTGATATACTGTATTTATATTACTGTATTAGTTTTTTTACTTACTTGTAAATACATTTATATAATTATGTTTTATTTGACACCAGTTTCTTGCCATCTTTTATTGCTACTGTATTTTCCGCACTATTAGTCACTCTGGATTATAAGACGCACTGTCATTAAATGGTCTATTTTCTAACTTTTTTCACAAATAAACCGCGTGGGACTTTAAAGGAAACCCAACAGTGTGATGGGTGAGTGGTTTTGTTTGTTTGTGGTGTTCACGGTGACTCTGGGCTTTGTTCAGTTGTGGCGTGTAGGGAGGTGCTGTCTGGGACCAACGGATTGTCGGCGTGTTCGCAGTGACTCAGTTGTTCAGTTGAACGGTGTGGAGTGATGAGTGTGTCTGTGGGTGTGTTTCGCTGTGCGGTCGCTGTCTGCTCCGTGTGTGTTTGGCGCTCTGGATTGTGGGGCGTGCAGTCGTTTTTTGTTGGGGTTGGAGGCTTAACTCTTTCCCCCATGAAGACGACATTTGACGACCCCCCTGAACCCTTAATGACGACTTTTGACACCTTCGCCGTATCACTAAAGACGAGATTTGACGACCTTTAGAAACGGCTCGGTTTTTCACATTTAAACAGAGACTGTGATAGGTGGGGGCCACTACAACCCACACTAGACTGACCAATAGGATTCAAGGATATGTTTTCGCCGATTTTTTCCGAAGTTAATCGAAATAGTGACGATGGTAGCTTCCGGAAAAAACACAACACGAAACACGTGCAATGGAAAGATCGCGGCGCTGCGGCGCACAGTTTTAGAAATAATGAGGAGCGGACGTATTTTATGGATAAGTTTAGAGAAAGTGACTTTTATAGATTTCAAAGTGATGATGTTGAAGTTGATTATAAAGTGGAAAACAGCGATAGCGACAGACTTTCGGGGAGAAGGTGAGATGCTGCTGATGTGTCTGTGTGGAGTCCTGCGATATCCGAACAAACTATCTGAGCTTTATACTCGATTATGAACCAAAATTGCCCTGAAATCTGGATGTTGCCCAGGCCAGTCCTTTAAAATATTTCAGTCTTTTTTTCCAAGATGCGATGTATAACAGAATCGCTACAGAAAAAACGCTTATGTGGAGCTCTGCGCACGAGAAAATAGCCAAGATGACAAATACTGGACACACACTGACGGGGAAGAGTTTTATTATTATATTATTATATTATAATAAGCTAAATGAGTTGAATAAGCTAAATGAGTTGAATAAATAAAATAAGTTGAATAAGCTAAATGAGTTGAATAAGTTAAATGGAAAAAAAATTATTGGGTGCACACAGGTGTACAACAGGTAAAAACAGGTGCACACTTGGCTATACTGTATCTGGTGATATGAAATCTGTTTAAATACTTTGACAAAGTATATTTTTTATTTTTTTATGAATATATTACTCAGAACATGCAGATATCAGATGCTGAATGTAGTTTTTTGTTTTCGAGCTTGCACCTGACCAGGTAAACTCTCATTTTCAGTGAGCTGTTATAAACCTATAAATGAGATGAATCACATTTAAACATCCATAAATGAATAGTTCAGAGTCTAAGGTTTCCAGAGATACAAATATGTCTGTGTTACAATTAAGTTCATGAGTGTAAAAATCATTTATAATCACTTGTGGAAGTCTGTTTTCTTTTATGCAATTATGCTCTATGGGTGTAGCCCTAGTAACATATGTATGGGTTGTTCCTAGTCGGCGTCCAGGGGGGAAAGAGTTAAGAGCGCGTCTAATAACCCGGAAAATACAGTACTTATTTAAAAGTTTTATTACCATTTTTATATTTTTTACTCTTTGTTATTGTAATATATTGTGATGTGTGAGCTGCTGTGTCCAGGTAATTTCCCTTGTGGATCAATAAAATCTGTCTAAGTCTAAGTCTAACCTTGTTTACACACTGATCACTTGACTACACTTGATGTTGTGAAGCGTGGATTTACCTGTGCGGTCTCCTGCAGGTAGTGGCTGAAGTCGTCTCTGGTGATGGACGGCAGGTGGCAGCACGGAGCCACCTCTGTCTCTGTGAAGTCCAGGCCCCATGTTTTAGTGAAGAAGTCGGACTCTCGTTTGGCGAGTCGGGGGTCGTTCAGAGCCGCGGGGAGATTGACCTTTGAACTGTAGACGGTCCAGGGCTCGTGCTCCGCCACTACAGACGGACCGCCGCACAGGCCACGCCCCTCACCTGAGAAACAACAACAAGTCCGTCTTTACTGACATCAGGAAGACACAAAGGCACTGGGCTTATTGATACTTTGAGGCCGATGTCGTCAAGATTCCCTGTCAATTTGAAGCTAACTGAAAGCACTGCTCTGTCTGAAGCTCTGTTACTCCACACGAGTACATATCTGAGCCGTTTTTGTTGCAGATACAGTGTTCGTTCACACTAATCTGATGGAAAACGGCTGAGAGACAGAACAATCTGGTGCCTCCAGCTCCCACAAATTCATCTGAGTACAGATCTGATCCGGCACTGCGTGGACTAGGGATGGGCATGATTAATCGATTAATCAATAACTGATCATTAAGAATTTCATTGATTACGTTAATTTTAATCGACAAACCAAAGGTTGCTGTGTGTAGCGTGAACAAACAGGGGTCCGTACATGTGTCTCTCTGCACTCAGAAGGAGCGAGCAAACAGAAACATTCTGTCAGCCTGCAACGCAAATGCGTATTTAACGATGACTTGTACAAGAAATTCCACATTCCAAATGAAGACTTGTCTCTTTCCAAACGCTCTTAAAGGACGATCGTTTTGACTGTTGACCGTGACACCCTCATCAGAAAAATGTCCAACATGAGAAAAGTGGAGCCGAGTGCAGGATTTTTTGCATACAAGTTAATGGTAAAACATTGTGTTGAAACTGCATTTTTCTTAAAGTTTCAGGTTGTTCATAATATTATAATATTTTGTAAAAGAAAGAGTTCATCAATTAAAAAAGATTTATTTAACTTATTGTTATTTTGGGGGTTTATATGACATGAGTTTTCTGATCCGGCCCCTTTGGGATCAAAGCAGGTTGGATACGACCCCTGGACCAAAATGAGTTTGACACCCCTGGTTTATATGAATAGACATATATTCTAGCCTCTTAGAATTACTTCGCGGCGCACAGACCTACATCAGAGTATCAGTGTTTTCAGGCGTCCACACTAGGGACGGGCATTCAATGAAATTTTCTTAAACGATCGTCGGAAGAATTAATGATCGATTATCGATTAATCATGAACATTTTTATATTAAAATTATCATCATTATTATTACTATCTGCACTACTAATCTGCAGAAATAAATTCAACTTTACGACATATAAACATAACGACTCTAGAGCCACATCAGCTGTTTGACATTATAATGTGTTTAATTCAGTTTTGTTCAAATCTCACAGAAACAAAACTTAAAACCACATCACTAATTTACATAAACTAAGTGAAGATAAAACTCCAGCTCTTGTGTCGCTGATGTGGTTCAACTTGTGTTGGATTAAAAGACATGACTCAGGTGAATACAGGTCAGTGTGACCAGATTTGCATTTGTCAAAACCAGGATAACGTACGGGGGGAGGGGGGCGGGGCCTCGTCATCCACATTGAGCGACTCTCACCTGGAAAAACTTTTTCCCACTGGACACAGAAACATATGTGCTGCTTTATCCACTGTGCACATGGACTCACACTTGTCCCGAGCGGAACAGAAAGTGTGGAATTTCTTGTCCAAGTCATCTTTAAATCCACATTTGTGCTTCGGTACGTTGCAGGCTGCTCACTCCTTCTGATGCAGACACACATGTACACACCTGTTTGGTCACACTACACACAGCAACCTACATTTGGTTTGTCGATTAAAATTAACGTAATCGATGAAATTCTTAATGATCTATTATCGATTAATCGATTAATCATGCCCATCCCTATTCAGGACGCAATAACATTTTGCACTGGAGCCACTATTGTTGCCTCATTGTGTCGCCTGGTATTATTTCTCGCCTCAGCGTCCATTACGGTGATGGGTGTACTCGTACCTGTAGGCTCCTTGGGGCAGACGTCGGGCAGAGATCTGACCCTGAGCCGTGGATCGTCTCGCTCTTTGTGGAAGATTCCTGCAGCGCGAGGCGCTGAGGGAGAGCTGCGGCTGGAGGCCATGGCCGGGGCACGGGGCCCTCAGCTGTGCACAGAAGAGGGAAGACAGAGGTTTAGAGCAACGAACAGTTCACTTGTGAGAGTCTGCGTAGAAATGAAACACTAAGACAGGCATGTCCAAACTATGGCCCTCGGGTCAAATGCGGCCCTCAGACAAATTTTTGTTGGCCCTCAGGCTTCACTTTTTACTGCATTTTTTTTTTTTGAAAAGAATCTGAGCATGAATAAAGTCTGATGGATCATTCTAACGTGTTAAACCTGCACATATTTCAATTATTCCCTGTACTGAGTTCCAGTCTACGGCCCTCGATCGTCCCTCTGCTTCATCTGTGTTTAGATATTTGGCCCTTGATGAAAAAAGTTTGGACACCCCTGGATTAAACATTCAGGTTTAATAAACTACAGTTTGGACACCTCAGCAGTGGTACTTCACATTTTACAGTGTGACATTAAGACTTGGCACCGGTGCTGTTATGAAACTGAGATTCAATAATCATCCACATTCCTGAACCTCTGGGTGTGCAAAAATATTTTTAAAATAGATATATCGTGTCGTTTAATGTGCTGGAACAGTATCGATATCGTAGGCTGCTGTATCGATATATCACCAAGTGTATTTTTTGGTACATTTTACTAAAGTATTATGTTACAGCCGGTTATTTATCAAAATATACACCTGCACCCGGTGTTTAAAGGAGACCTGGTGTTTAAAAAAGAAAGCTGGCGAAACACAGCGGGCAGGAAATGGAAGCAGTTTTTAGGAGTTTTGGTAATATTTGGTATATTACTTCAGTTTGGCAATTGGGAGGAAGCAGCTATGTGATCGTAGCTGCTGTGACGTAAGAGGAAAGTTGTAGTAAAGGGGCGAGAAAAGGCAGAGGACGAGGCGGCAGGAAACGTGCCCACAAAGTCAGCAAAGTAGTCACCGGGTCATCGTATAACAGCGACGCCTCCTTCAAGTCGTGCCATAAAAACTGTAAATTATAGTGAAACTGGTTAAAAGAATTTGAGTACCATATTTCCCCCGTTTTGCTGAGCAGGATTTCTGTGAGGAAGGAATTAATCGCCTGCCCCAAATTGCCGCCTAGTCTCAAATAAAAGCCTGGTCTGTTAAATGATTGAAACAAATAAACACTCCGGCTATTATTTGGTATTTTTATGGATATTTAAAATCAATTCAATACGGTTCAATAAAAATAATGGCTAAATCATTGTCAAAAGTCTTTGTTAAACCACTTTCTGTTCAAAGTTAACATGAAACATGCCCATTTTAAATCATCAAAACTGTGAAAACGTCAAATGTGTCGCATAAACGAGTTTCTATCTTCTAAACAAGCAACAAAACTGCAGCGCTTTAACAAAATAATGAAGTAAAATAAACCAAAAACTACTCTTGGCGATATATCGACACAGCAGCCCTCGATATCAATTCTGTATCATCACATTAAACGACACGATATATTGATACTCCTGTTAATAAAGTATGATAATCAAGGCAAAACAAGGTGCATTTTAGAGCTTTAGAC